AAAAAGTCTAACAAAGTTTGAAGAGCTGTTCTGATTAAAGGAGACTAAAGAGACATGACAGTTACACGCAGTGCATGTTCTTTAATTGATCCTGAATTGAATGCAAAACAAAAAAACCCCAACAACTATAAAGGACATTATTGGAGCAATTGGAGACACTTGAATACAATTGTATATTAGATAACATTATTATGCCAATGTTAGAATTTCTGAATGTGATAATTGTATTGTGGCTATGTAGAAGAACATCATTCTTAGAAGAGATATGCTGAAGTATTAAGAGGTGAAGTGTCATGATGTCTGCCAATAATTTTCAGTGGTTCAGAAGAAACTTCTCAAATGACTCAACAAAAAATACATATACAGGCTGGGCGTGGTGGCTCACACCTGTAATCCCAGCACTTTGGGAGGCTGAGGTGGGTGAACCACCTGAGGTCAGGAGTTCGAGACCAGCCTGGCCAACATGGTGAAACCCTGTCTCTATTAAAAATTAAAAAATTAGCCAGGCGTGGTGACCCTCCAGCTACTCGGGAGGCTGAGGCAGGAGCATCACCTGAGCCTGGGAGGCAGAGGTTGCAGTAAGCAGAGATGGTGCCACTGCATTGCAGCTTGGGTGACAGAGTGAAACTTTGTCTCATAAAAAAAAAAAGAAAAAAGAAAAAGAAAAAGAAAACATTTTTAAAAAGCATTATCATGAATTTAGATTTTTTTTGCTTTGTTTGAGACAGTCTTGCTCTGTCTCCCAGGCTGGAGTGCAGTGGTGTGAATTTAGGATTATTTTGATTGCTTATTCAGACACATAATGCTCAAAATTTGTTACGGTGGCAACAAACCTTTCTTTGATTTTTCTATTTTTATTATCCTACTTTAGCTCTCTGTGTCTTTCTATTCACTGCCGTGTTTCAGAGCCATCGATGGTTATGTCATGTGCACAACACTTCAACAAATTCTGAATATGCCTAATGTGAACTGAAGTTCTTTTTCTTCAAACAGGAGACTTCTCCCATAGGGCCTCTGATAAATATATCTCATGTATATCCTGTAGAATGATGACTTTTTTGTTTTTATGTATGGTTTTTATTGCACTGATAAGCTGCAATATTAGTTTTTATTTCCCTAGGATCTATTTATCGTCCTCCCATACCCCTTTAGCCCTAGACCAAAGAGAAGCCCAAAGTACTGCTGAAAATGATTAAAGTATCGCTTTATTCTATAAAGAACTAGAGAAAAATAGATTCTGGATATCAAGTGATATTTACAATTATGAAGTAATATACGCTGTGCAATACAGTGATTTTTTTTTTTTTTTTTGAGATGGAGTTTTGCTCTTGTTGCCCAAGCTGGAGTGCAATGGCGTGATCTTGGCTCACTGCAACCTCTGCCTCCTGGGTTCAAGTGATTCTCCCACCTCAGCCTCCCGAGTACCTGGGATTACAGGTGCATGCCACCACGCCCAGCTAATTTTTGTACTTTTAGTAGAGATGAGGCTTCACCATGTTGGCCAGGCTGGTCTCGAACTCCTGACCTCAGGTAATCCACCCATCTCGGCCTCCCAAAGTGTTGGGATTACAGGCGTGAGCCACTGCGCCCGGCAATAAAGTGATTTGTGATATATTTGTGTCCACATAAAGACTAATGATTTTGAAATTCTTTTCTTTCTTTCTTTTTTTTTTTTTTTGAGATGGAGTCTTGCTCTGTTGCCCAGGCAGGAGTTCAATGGCACGATCTCGGCTCACTGCAACCTCCGCCTCCCACGTTCAAGTGATTCTTCTGCCTCAGCCTCCTGAGTAGCTGGGATTACAGGTGTGCGCCACCACACCCGGCTAATTTTTGTATTTTTAGTAGAGACGTGGTTTCATTATGTTAGTCAGGCTGGTCTCAATCTCCTGACCCCATGATCTGCCTGCCTTGGCGTGCTAAAGTGCTGGGATTACAGGCATGAGCCACTGTGCCCAGCCTTGAAATTATTTTCTGTTTTACCCTTAACCCTCTTTATGTTAACCTCTGTGAAATAAAAAGTAGAATATTGGGGCTTACGTCATAGTTGCTCCTGGATCGGCAGTCATTTGATTGGTCACAAAAACAGCCACATTATATTCTGTATCAAGAGATAAAATTTTAAAACTATGAGAAAGGCTATATATATATATATTTATTATTATTATTATTTATTTATTTATTTATTTTTGGAGACGGAGTTTCACTCTTGTTGCCTAGGCTGTAGTGCAATGGTATGATCTCGGCTCACTACAACCTCCGCCTCCTGGGTTCAAGTGATTCTCCTGCTTCAGTCTCCCGAGTAGCTGGGATTAGAGGCATGCACCACCACACCAGGCTAATTTTATATTTTTTAGTAGAGACGGGGTTTCTCCATGTTGGTCACGCTGGTCTCGAACTCCCAAACTCCCGACCTCAAGTGATCCGCTCGCCTCGGCCTCCCAAAGTGCTGGGATTACAGGCGCGAGCCAAGAAAGGCAATATAGATATTTAAAAGTTCATCGTTTAGATTTTAGAGTTTAGAAATATTGCATCGTGAATTTATTTTATAAATAACATCATATTCCTATTTTTCATTGACAACAAAAATTATTTGTTATTATTATTATTAAGGTTAGAATAAATATTTTTGGTTTAAAAAAACAGTTGTAAAGCTGGGCGCAGTGGCTCATGCCTGTAATCTCAGCACTTTGGAGGTTGAGGTGGGCAGATCATGAGGTCAGGAATTTGAGACCAGCCTGGCCAACGTGGTGAAACCCCGTCTCTACTAAAAATACAAAAAATTGGCCAGACATGATGGCAGGTGCCTATAATCCCAACTACTCAGGAGGCTAAGGAGGAAGAATCGCTTGAACCAGGGAGGCGGAGGTTGCAGTGAGCCGAGATCGTGCCACTGCACTCCAGCCTGGGCAACAGTGCGAGACACTGCCTCAAAAA